TTGGTTGGTTTTTTTTGTTTTTCCCAGTCAATATTTCATAGCATGGAAGATTCCCTTAAATCTGTAATTTCACAGCAATGTTAAAGACAATATCCACCAAGCCTTTCTAGGATAAAAGCCTGCATCCTTGTAATTTCTGTGTCTCCTGTGACATTCAATTTCGTTTGAAACCCTTAGATGAGTTGTAGGTTAGAAAGATGAGTGAGGCAGTGTCATTAACAAAGTTTTAAAATATGCTCTGTTATAAAATTTTAATTAATTCCTAATCAAGATGTAGCTTTTAAAGCAAGTACATGTATCACCCACACAATGAAACAACCCTCACTAATGTAGTAAATATCATGGGCTACATTATAGATAAATTATTTAGAGACAGCCCAAAATTTAGTTATATTTATACAGCATGTTATTTTGAAAAAACATTCATAAGTGGGAATATGTGTGATACACAAAATCACAATGACTTGTGATGAACAAAAATCTGTTGTACTACCAAGTTTTGAATAAAAATCCACACACACTTCATTACACAAGTGATAAAATACTTTAGTTTATAAGTTACATGGAAGTGTATCTGGATGCTTAATATTGCACTAAGTTCCCTGAACAATGGTCAAGATAAAAGGTGCTTTTATTCTTAAGAATGAACAGGCTGTTTATCACAGCTTCAGAAAAAACACACAGCTTTTTTTAAAAAACATGATGTTGTAATTCTGCTTATTCATTTTACCTGTGTTTTGAAACACACGTGAATCTCAGGAATCTTTGGAAATTGAAATTCCAGGGAACCTGGTCTTCTACTATTCTGTAAATAAAAGTCTTGCTGAAGCATGCTTTCAAAATACATGTTTTGTGAACTAATTAAAAATAGATAGGCAAGGTTTCATCTTTCCTGTTCTATTCAGGCTGTGTCCTTAATTTTGCTTAAAGGTACATTCTTTTAAGCTTTCATTTTACCAGGAGATAAATTCTCATGACCTAGTTTACCTTGAAAAGCCTTTTAAAAAATTTGTAAATTTCCATGTTTTATTTAGAAGTCACCGAGGCTCTGTCCTGTAACTTCATCTACTCTGATCATGGAAGCTTATATTAGAATTGTGAAGAAGAAAAAAAAATATTTTTAAGGTCTTGTTATACTAAAATCCCTGGTATCTTTGTGCTATGTGGGTATATTATTGCTTTTACTTTCTATTTCATAAATAGAAGTCACAAGTCCCAAATGTTATACCTGTGTTTCTGCTGTCCATTATTGTTTAAATACAGACAGTGCTATTGCAAACTTTTAGATATTTTGTCTACCTTCTTGTTTGTTTCATTGTAGAAATAAAAAAAATGAATATTCCCATGTCTAACACAAGAGGTCATACTCATCACATAGCTTGCTAGAAAACTGATAAACCAGGTTTTCACTTTAGTCTCATTGTGCAGACTGGGATATTTTATAACAATTTCAAGGTATAAACTAAGAATTGTGGAGAGTTTGCATTTTCAGAAATAAACCTTCCCTTCTGTGGCATGATTAATGAGAAAGAACAGAAAGTAGCTATTTGTCCTACCTTCCATTGCTAAACAATTTTGAAGTTCATTTTCTAGTGTATTTGTTTTCAGAAAAAAAAAATCTACTCATCATGGGAACTTATTTGTTACATTCTTTCTTACCTCACTTTATTTAGTGTGGCAGCTCGGAACTGCTCAATCATGCTAACGTGGTAACAGTGAACACCTAAGAAAGAAACATTATCTCTTTGGGGTAAAGCTTTGGGGTTTTTCCTATTGTTTCATTATATACTGGGTGGAACTGCTCTTACTGATTGTCATAAAGCCTGTATCTGCTGTGCCAAAAAGGGAGAATCTACACGAGTATGTTTACATGCATGTGCGTGCATGCCTTAATATAAACTAAGAGAGAAACAGTTGCTGCAGATCTCACTTGATAATTATGATTAATGGAGATATTTAAAAAACAGATTTTTTTTTCCTAACCTCACTAATTGCAAGAACGAGATAAATACTGCAGAGCAGTATTGAGCTAAACTGTATTAACAACAGGACTGGAAACACTACAGACACAAGAAAAATTAGATTTTTTGGAGTATAAAAACCGCTGTAAAATATTTGAAGTGACATGTATTGGCTGGTCATTTGAAAAGCTCACGTAGCAACATGCAATGAAGATACAACACCTACAGGCTACAATAAAAGATATTAAAAAGATACTTTGGCTGTTACCCTATTGCCCCTAGTCCTGTTGCCAAACTCCGGTTAAAATAACTGAAAATTCTGCACTTATAATAAGGTCAAATATGTAGAAAGACAGTAAATAAAAGTAAACAAAACAGAGGGAAAAAAAAAAGTCTTGGAAATTCCATTCTCAAAGCATATTCTCCACAACACCTAGAGGTTTTAAGAAAGCAGCAAAGGAAAAAGCCTTGTCCTTTTTCAACAAACAGGCATTGCAGATCTCAGTATTACACTGAAAGGTGTCATTCAGTGAAGACAGAGTCATGTTAATAAAAACAGAGGTAACACCAGGGTGATCTAGGGTAATATAACATCATTCAAGGGTATCTATACAGCAATAAAAATGCTTTTGAGACCATACAAAATGACTGTGGTGTAGCTGCTGAGATGATGGGCATGTAAACTAACTGTATGAACCATGTGTGTAAGTTACCTTTTCCATGCCATCTGGGAGGGCTTTTACCCACCACACCCCTCTAACTTTCACCCCAGCAATGTCTGGTGTCATGTAATCATATACCCTAACTGGAATACCACCTGCATAACTATGGTTATTTCAAAGACCTTTTGATAATGTTCCACATTAATGGGACAAGGAAAATAGTCTGATTCCATACAGATTTATGTATTAGGAGGATGAATTCTTTGCTGTTTCTACTTTTGATTTCATACAATTAGACTAATTTTCTGCACTTCTGCTTCTCCAGCAACACCACCAATGGAAATGAAAGTCTACTCCAGTTTAAAACCTCCTTTTGTAATTTGGGATATGTAGGAGGTGGCACATAAGGACACTGGATTGACAACAGCTCTAAAACAGTAAAGAAAGTTTTCAAGATGGAGGATGTCCTCATTCATATGGATGTAGCTTAAGAAATATCTAGAATTGTTGCATGCCCTTCCTCCAGTTAAGGGGCATTAAGGGATGGGGGTTAATTTTTTTTACTAACATCAATTTTTATTTTTATTATATATATTAAAAATACTGAATGTAATCCAAAGGAAAAACCCAAAAAACTTGTAAAAGTATTTCTTCACTTAATGGACTTTCCATCTTTTCTGGATTTTTAATAGTACTTGAAGGTCACACAAATCTAATGACTTCTTTTCTTTCCTCTGCTTTTTTTTCATTATCAAGGGATGCTGCCAATTTTAAAGAATTTCATAGCTAGGTAAATGCATCAACATTAATACTGTTTTAGCCAGTGATACACATGCTCAGCGGGTGACTTTTAAATTATGTTTTATCAGACTGCTTTTTATTATTTTCACAAATTGTTGCAGTTTTGTAACTGAACTCAGATAACTCAGTACATGGTACTAACATGGTAACTTAATGCAGTTTATTTTCTATTTCAGCCTGTGCAAGAGCACAGAGTGACTTTTAGCATGTATGGGATTATCAAGTGTAAGAGTTTACTTTTAACTTCAGAATGTAGTTTTTGTAGCATTTTGACCTCTCAAATCCAGTGAGATAGCACTTACACCTAAATATAAGATTATTCCTTGCAGAGGTGGATGTTAGCCATGCTTTTTCTCTCTGTAAAATATGTCATCTGTGATTCATGTAGCAATTTGTTCTAAATAATTACATTTGCCCATGTTTTAAAAATAAGATCGTTGGGTATTTTTTCCATAGGTACTTTATCATCAGCGGTACATTTAGCTTTAAGAACAGAATTGCTATAGATTTGCATTTTCTTTGTTCAATTTGGAAAGTTTCTTCAAGGTTACTTAATAAAACAGGTTCCCTTATTAGGCTGTAAAATGTGAAAGATGGACGTTGCTTTTATCAGGTGTGTATGAATGCTTTCAAATCTTTAATGGTAGGTTATTCTAGACAGTAGCCCTCACAATTCAAAAGACATATAAAATGTAAAATGCTTGTGTTTATTAAGAGATTTTTTTAATTGTTTCTGCATTCGTGATACCCTGAAAGACTGCAATTTCCATAACACATTCAAATCTCTTGTCACAGAAGGCTGTTTGTTTAGTGCTGTCATCATCACACCTAAAGTTTTATGGATGTGCTTATTGTACACACAGGTATCAATGTATGTTGTGGTCCTGCTCACAGAAATGATCTCTTTAGCAAATCTGGAAAGCTTATGCACTTGCAGAACAAATGGAAGCTGGGAA